TTGTAAACATAGCGTGTTTTGCTTTGAACAGAGCCATGCTTCAAGTAGAGGTCACGAGTTCAGATCGGGCAAGTCTCGACTTGTAGCAAGGGGAAGTCCCTTTTTTGTTTGTGAGTGATTGCTGGTGCGATCGGTGCTAGTCACGAGTTGTTTACACAAAAAGTGCACCGGGGTCAAAAGTTCAAGGTCAGTGAAGTGGAAATCCCCAGCACGTGTGGGTGAAAGGGGGTTGGCGTCGAGTCACGGGTTGTTTACAAAAAGTGCACCGAGGTCAAGAGTTCAAGGTGAGTGAAGTGGGAATCCACGGCGCAAGTGGTTGAAAGGGGAGGAAAGGGTAGGTGCTCCAGAACTCTCCTATCCCTACTACTGCAGTCAGGATGTCGCGGTGGATGTTGATGCAGTTTGTGTGCTGCGCACGATGTTCAAATCACACAGCTGTAAGCCACAGCCGCCAGCACAGATCGGTGTGTCATATCATGCCGTAGCCAAGTGATTCGGACATGACCAAAATCTTGCACATAGTATATATGTACATGTTACTGTGATTCATCGAATGTGCAGAGGATTTTTCGCCAAATTTCACATGCGCTGTCACTGCTTGAAAAAGTTCTCAGGATCTTAAAAAACAGAGACCCAACTTTATGTAAAATTTTGTAAGCACCCAAGTTTACAAATATTAGGAGGAAAAATGATGCTTTGGTCCACTTGGTCCTTTCCAACAGCCGCAATATACAAATTTGCTTTTTTGGCCCTAAAATCCAGATCGGTCCCTTTAATTCCACAAAACTTGACGTAAGATGTCGTAAGCATCTATCGGATTACATACTGGACCACAAAGGTCAATCTGCTGCATGATTCATGAGGTAGTTGGCTTTTAACTGGTTCTGGGTTATTGGTACATTTCCAGTGATGAGTACCAGTATACTATGCCGTTACTGCATGTGATTAAAACCGTGAAGGGAAACGTGGTCAAAAGGTTGTGCGTGCGAGCGGCCGTATCTCATGCAATGTCGCTCATGTCATTTCGGTTGTAATGTCGGGGGGTATTATTAATGCCGATACTGAGCAGCAACTGGCAAGCGCCACCAAGTGGAAAAAACTGAAGTTTGTATTTTAATACCATTTTCCAAGAATTTTCTAAGCATTGCTGGGCTTTTTGACGCGGTTATTTTGGAAGTGCTGAATATGATGGACTTTTTTGATGCTGGGCTGAAATTTCATGGAAACCTTTAGCAACCTTATGGTCGTTACGCCCAAGACAATACAGTGCTGCCGTAACTCTTGCCTGGATCTAACTCATCAGAGTTTAATGAGTATCCACTTTGTAAGATACTTCGGACTCACTGAAATCTCCACTTAGCCATGAATTGATCAACAGATTAACGCAAACACAAAGTTAATGAGCTGGGCTTCTCGGGAGGCCTCACTGTGTTTTCACATTGTTTTTACTGAAGCCCATTTTGTCCTCACCGGGTCATGCAGGGGATTATTTCGCGCTGATTTCAACAGATAACCCACCCTGAAATCGCCGTGGAAACAAGTTTCACGATAAATTCATTGCAAATTATATATTCACTCCAAATTCACGGCGTTGAGATTCCTAGTGTGATGCCTGTCCACAAGCAGGTGGAGTGCAACAGCCAGACACACAAAGGAACCAGCCCTCTCCAGAGCCCCCAACAACCCCCTAGATTTTTTTTTTACACGTTCTAAAACAGCATGATTTATATAGCATCATATAAAATTTGATTTGATGAAAGAGGTAAATTACTTTAACCACTTCGTGCCGCGGCATTTTTCAATGTTGATGATGCTGGGCCAGCATGACTATCATTTTTTCCATTTTCAAAATCCTTCAAAAATTCATCATTTCATTTAACAGTCGTTTATAGCCGCACTAAGTAATCTTTAGGCACTACTCTAAGTTGATAGGTGACCTTCATTGACGCCAAAGTATTTCAGCAAGGCCTGCAGCCTTGTAAACAGAGCCCAGATTGTGCGGTGTTGTATAACTGTCTTTTGTTCACGAGCCTGGCTCAATGCATTGCTGACCTCTTTTCAATAGGGGCCAGATTAGCGTGCAGCGGTGCTGTGTGGCTCATCGCTGCAGTGGTGGAGCATTTTTGTCCATGGTGGTAATCCGCTCGCTCTCAATGCCCAAAACCCTGGTATAGGGTTTCAAAACAAGGCTGGATTATCACCACTTTTGAGAGTGAAAAATGCCGGTAATGCCCAGCAGCCTGGTCTTTTGTTTGGAGTGCGGTCTTTTGTTATAGGGCCCTGTTTCCTTTGTCCGAGTTTGGAGACCCCGGCCACCCATATAAACCATACGTCTCCGATCCGAGAGTCCCCGACAATAAGTGGTTAAGATATAATGCCCCTTAAATCCCGTCTTTTTATTCCCCATGCATACATTTATGTACTGCATCCCACTCAGTTTCATAGGACTAATCAATGCATTCAATAAGGTACAGGAATTGATATAACTTTAGCTATTTTTTCCTCTATTTTAACAAACTTGTACACCTCCTGTATGTGCAGTCCATCTATTGTTGTAATGGCTAATTTGATCGATCACTAGGACCACTGTTACCACTGCTGTGCACCCTTCAGATAAAATTGTTGATTAAAGATACAGTATGGTAGGCTCACTTGTGACCTACCAAAAGTGCAAGAGTGTTTCATTGTCACTCATTCATGCCTTGTTCCACTATCCACCGAAGGAGGAAAAGAATAGAAATAAACTTTCCTCCCATAAGAATGAAGGAAGGAAAAGTGAGAGTATAGCTGAAGAAGATGCATCTTGATATTTGGAGGAAAACAACTTCTTACTACATGTACATGTATAGTTTAACCCACAGAAAAAGATGTAGAACATTTTTATATTTCTTATGCACAGAACAATCTGTGGAAGAGTTTGCAAACAAAGCCGGATGGGCGGGAGCAATGGAAGAATGGTTGATCTTTGATTCATGATCGGAAGGAGGCAGTATGTGATGAGCTGCAGTGATGGTAGATTCGGAAGCATTCTTCCCAAGGAGAAGCTGGTGGATAGAATGACATGGGACATGCAAAAGCCTAAGCAGCATTGCAGGCAGGTGGGTTTGGTTGCCCTAGATTCTGACTGGAGAGCCGTGGTGGTGAATCTGCATTCCAATGGCGCATTCACCAGGGCAGAGCTAACAAGTGATGGGGAATAGGTCCGGGGAGCGTCATTGTCTGATTCATGCCTGGGTGTCCCTGTTAAAAAGGTCAGTGGGCTTATGCATGAAGCAGTCCCTTGGATCGGCAGGTGAGGCATGGACTCATCTCTGCGTGAGCCTTGGTGAGCCATTACCAGTGGCAGAGTAGTTTGTCTCAGTAGGCTTGCGGTGTTGAGTTCCGCTCTAGTAGGCTCCGTCCTGCACACAAACTTGAGCAGAGAGACCGAAGTGGAGGCAACCCGGTGGGCAGCCTAGTGTGTCGCTCAGTTCGGGAACAGCAAATAACATGGGCACTGGAGATTAACCTCAGCACCCTGGTTAAGTGGCGGACTGTGACAGCAGATATCTGTTAAATGGGCAAGCCTCCCGCCTATTGTGCTGTTTCTGAGATTGTAATTGGAGTCCCCCAGTTGACCTTATAAAAGTACTTTGTAAAAGGAATTCCTTGTAGAATCAACGTACGACTATGCACATAAACACATGCACAAGCAAAAAGAGAAAAGAGACATACACACACAAATAATGGATCGTGACACAATATGAACATATGAAAGATAAAGAAGTGCATCAAAATGAGGGAATGGCACATAATAAGGGAAAACTTGACACAGCATAATGAAACTAAGTTTATATGTAATCAGTGTTGTAGTCGAGACCACTTAAGACCTTCACAAAACCACACAAGACCTTTAGTCTGAATTCAAGTCACAAACCATTCAAATAAACTGCAACCAAAGCATTCCTTTGTCATTGTTCACCCTGTTACTTATGACTGGTATGACTGGTCTTGTGTCTTGTCTTATGGTGGTCTCAACTAAACAGTTTGTGATACTGTTGATCAGGTTTCCACCCAAGGTATAGTGAAATGGTAAACTCAAGGAAATTTGAAGACGTAAAAATGACACATCCGTTGGCAATGGCACTAAGAAAAAGATACACATGGCGGCGGTGCCATGCTGCATCAGAGGACTACAGTTGATCAAGCATGAAAGGAAAGTTGCTAAAGCAGTGACTGTTTGAGTAGGATGAGTGCAGTGGACCCACGGCACGATATACAAAAAAAGTGGCATGCATTGGTGCGTGTAGACCAAAAAACCTACATGCACTAGGAAAAAACCCACATGCACCATAATTTGGCAAATACCGGTATCACATATTCCTGTATATAGCAATTTAAGGATTATAAGCCAAAGATAAGGTTAGGTGTGTACGTGTATTATGAATCTGCTGCGAGGAAAAAAATAACACGTTCATACACTATCTGGTCAAGAATTCAACAAACTTTATTCTTACTCTCACTTATAGGTAAATATATGTAGGAAATGAGTATTTTGGTGGTTAAAAGTTACATGCACATCGTGCATCCTAAGGCAAAATTTACATGCACTGGTGCATGCGTGCACTGGGTAAATCAAGCCGAGTGGACCCAAATTTTTAAAGAGGGTTATACATTTCCATTGACATTATTGAGAATATTCTGATCCAGACATTAATTCCTTCGCCACTGCATGTACTCAATCAAAACATCTTTGTTCAGCTAATGCAATGGTGTAAAATGACATTGCACCTGCATAATGATGGGAAAAGGCCTGTTAGCAGTACTGTGGCAGAGGCATTCCTACTTTGCCAAAAATATCTCTTGGTTTTGCAACTTGTATATCAAATCCATATAAAAATATGCTTGTTTTTGTTACTGCAAAAACCAAAGGCACCTCAAAATCTTCGGCACAAACGATTTGAACATAATATAGCATTATTAATTTTGGTGTAATATATATAACCGAATAAATAACTTGCCTTAAATCATCTATTGCATCCGAAACTTCAGGTGAAAATGTGACAGATGCACCTTCCCGACTGACCTCAGCAATTCTTGTAGCTGTACTTGATTTTCCAGGAATTTTACTTGAATTCTGTGACTGTGTTTGTGTAAAACCTCTTTCCTGTCTACCCTCTATGTCACTCATTTCCATCACTTTGGAGATGGTCCCTGCTGTTTCTTCAAGCTATAAATGGGATAAAGATGTAAAAGGGCAACATGATTGCAAAATGAGTTTTACTCTTTTCAAAGTGAAAACAAAGTCACTTGAAAAATTCTCATTGAATTAAAGTAGATTCTTCTTACAATAGTGATCCCTTAATAATGGATATAAGGCTCTTAAAGATAATTTTTACAATCATTCTGTACATTTAACCACATTTTCATTTTGGGAGGATATACTAGTAGCATGCAACATTTTAAGTCCATGATACTGGTACAATAAAAACATGCAAAAATTGTTTGTGCTATAATGCTCCTAGAAGTTTCAGTGTGAGTTTTTATTTGGTTTAATTTTTTTAGCACACGTTACATGAGTCATTTAGAGAAGGTGGGTGTACAAAGATATTTGGACAAGGTTGCAGGATATAGTATACAGTGAGGGGCCCTTTAGAGTGACGAAACTGTGATTATTTTGTTGCTTGTAAAATTTTTAAAAGCAGTTTGAAAGTTTTTCACATGGTAATTTTTTTTAAAATAAAACTTGGTTTCACACATAACAAGGGCACCACACAATTTTTACTATTTTGGTAACAAATTTAGGTTTTTTGGCAGCAGTTTCTCACTAGTCACATATATGTATCAAAGAATGCAATACTCTATTTTAACAAGTTTCAGGTAACTTTGATGTCAACTCTTCTTGATACTCTAAGAAATCTATAAAACTAATATGCCATACCTTCCAAAATTTGGTTGGACCCTGACAGTTTTCTCATAATTAAAAACTTTACATTCAATTTCCCAGTAATAAGTTTATAACTGTACGTTGTATTCTCTACTACCATGTTTGATGAGAAATTGAAAAAACTAATCTTACGGTAGGATGTGAGAGATGTGAATCAAGAGATAAACTTGAAGTAAAAATGCAGAAAGAAATTGAAGAAGTGACCACATCCAGAAAGGCTTGCATACATGCAATACATCTTGTTGCAAATTTAGAAAGCAGACTGATCCTACAAGGCGATGAAAGGGCTGGAAGCATCAGCTTGAAGGGCAAATTAAGGCCTGGTTTTAATAATATTAAACAGTTAGCGAGGTAAGAGAAGTTTGGAATCTAAATTTAATCCTTAAAATCAGTCACAGCCAGCTCGGTATGTTCATTTGCATTGCATGATAATGCACCTTTATTATAATAATTCTATGCTAATATAATGCAGTGGTTGAGTTCATGAAACACGTGTACCTATTCTACACGGAATATCCTTAGCTAACTAACTGTTGGTGTACAGCAAATTTTCTGACACGGCATTAATTTATTAAATTTTCACCAAACAAAATCAAAATGACAGTTTCTCTCCCCAAGTTTGTTGGCCCATGCAAAATAATTCAGCTTTAACAGTTAACCTTTTACAGTGTTCAAAAAGGATACGATATGTCATAATTTTCTGAAAACATGTTCATGTTCATGTATAGGACACAGCTTGTATGGTGATTCCCACATTGGAAATGTCAATGCAGCTTATATTGTAACATTTGAAGGATGAAATCAGTGACTAGAAACCACCTCAGCATAGCCTACCTGGCCAGCAACACGTGCAACCAGCACGGCACTCTGGGGACAAGGCAGACATATTATCATTGGCTGCAATTTACGGTCACTCAACTCACATGTTGGCAATGTTGGAAATGGAAACTAGTCCAGAGAGACTGAATAGACTTTACTGTAAGTACAGTTCACACCTCACAAATTGTGTGTCTATTCATTTTGGTCTGTTTTTATCATTGTGTAATCCATGTTGTTTATGATTTCACAAGTATGAAGAACTGCCACATGGCCCACCCAGCCAGAACACATTAGTGTGGGTCGGGTCTCCTGGTGATACTTACCCCTTCCCAGTCTACATATGCAAATTTCCCATGTGCCTATTACAATTCGCTGAAAAGACTTGATATGCATTCTACCCTTGACCCTCCACAATCATACACTGCAATCCCATGATTTTTGAACTTGGAATGTTGCATTCAGGGGGAATGAACATGGATTTTTCTCGATTCATTCGGAACTGAATCTATTTTCAAGTCAGGTTTACCCATAATTGTTCCTGTTTGGCTTAAAAAACACCTCTTTCGGACCAGACCCGCTGTGATCAAAACTCCTTTGATGCCGCGACATCGCAACACCTATTGTCGTCTAGAATAAAGCCCCTCTAGCAGCACAAGGAACAGAGTCGCTAAGTCATCATTGGCAAAACTGCAGCGCAAATTGCCGAGCGGATGAGTATTTCTTTGAGAAATACTGACGCGTTCCATCAGGAATCACTTAGGAGTCATCTCAAATCTCGTCCGGGACAAGTTGTGGTAAAATTGTGGGGGGAGTGAATACTTTCCCCACAATTTCCCCGCAAGTAGCAGTTCATTTATTGAGGGGAAATTGTGGAGAAATTTTTGCATTAGTAGGTCACTTACTATGAAGGACTGTTTACATTACCAGTGGGCTTGTAATAGGTGGTTACTATCTAAAGTGGTTTGCGGTTTCCAGAGACTGACCTTGAGTAACTCCACACACCATGATTTTTTGTCACATGTTCAATACCTGTTGTAGACTGAATCAGATGGTTGTTTGGAAAAACTTACTGACTTTGTCAGTCCCTCTGCTTATTTTGCTTCATTTACTTGTTAAATGTACAAGTTGTGTTACCTGTGCCCTTTGATACATGTACATGTACCTCCACATCCATTCACTTCTGAATTCAAAACTGGAAGTGTTTACTATAAATTTTTTAAAGGTTCCCTAGCCAGAATTGTCCAATCATGATTGTAATAACAGAATTTCAGTATTTCACATCAAGAGATAATAAAATGCAAAGCAACAATATGGTTTAACTTTCCGTATATTATACCTTGATTTTTTGGCAAAGAAGAAAGATATAACAGGAAGATTTATTGAAATACAGGGCCTGTACCCGATCTCTTCTTGTTAATGTCTTTTGTGCAGTAACATTGCCATATTAAATACAATAAAGTTGTATGTGCCTGAAGTAAGACCATAGCTTTCCAGGAGAAGAAAAACCCTAAAGCAGCTTTATATTTCATGAAAGGGTTGATGTATATTTATTCCAAATGATACAATTAGAGAAGTTTCAAAAAGCTGTGTGTAAGGAGTGCAGTCCTGTGGCTTGTTTGTCATCAAAACCACAAGTGTCCTTGAGTGGCCTGCCTGACCAAAACTGCAGAGTGGGGGGAACGAGACTGTGTAAACAAATACTGATAGCTTTATTTCAGGGAGATTGTGGGGAAAATTTCCAGTAGCCCTCAACATTCCACCGTAACACTCTTTCACAGTTTATCCTCAACTTATCCCGGACAAGATTTTAGATGACTCCTTACTGGGATTACTGGGATTAAGCTCTTGAAGATGCTTTTCAATTGTACTCGTATTAAAAATGCCATGGACAATGGTTTTGACACTGCCAGTTAGGCTAAATTTCTTGTCTTGTCCGTGTTCTCGTCTTAGCATAGCTCATATTAAGTTTTCTCTCATAGGCATGTGTACATTTTGAACTGGACTAAAGAAATATGATCGTCTTAAGTGCCATCTTGTCTCAAGTGGGCTCGTGTTGTTTGTGTTAAACTGCAGTGTCCTTCGACGCCAGATGAAAGAGTTTCGTTGTGGTGATGAAGAGCTGGGAATTAGATTCTCAGCGATGCTCAGTCCTGGCAGGATACCACTTGAGAGCCCGGACCAGGCACCATCTCTTGTCAGAGTCATCTCCCGAAAGTGAGGCTGTCGGAAACAAGAATGTTGGGAGGCTGGAAGGTAGGTATCTGGTTTTTAGTAAGAAACCTGATGGTTGGGATAGGGCGAACCCTGTGGCTCCCAGCAGATGTGACCATCGGCAACGGATAGGACATGAAGTTCGCTACCTTGTCTCAATATAACGACCATAAAGAGGAATACCAGTTTGATGCTGGGATGGAGGTAAGATGTATCGGACAGCAGTCCGAATGGGGGACCAGCAACAACGCGTAGGACGCTCCCAAGGTCTCAGGATAAAATGAGGCGTTTGACGTGGGGACACTTGACAAACATTCCTCAAAGGAGATGGTGGATGGCAGCGTGCAGTCAGAGACAGTCAATCCATCACTGAAGCCCAAGTGAGCAGCTGCCAAGGCCGACCAGTAGTTGCGGATGGTGGCAATCTGGAGGCCCGAGTAAGACAGATACTTGAGGAAGTCTGCAACGGAACTCACAGGAGCTTCGGTTGGAGAAACATCATGGTCGTTGCACCTGCAGACGCAGCATCTGCATAAAGGCCAAACACCCTGAAGGATCGTTGGACGACATCCAGTACATCAAGTGAAGACTCTCCGGTGCTGGGTGGAGGGTCCCTGATTTGGGTTGGCAAAGAGTGTCCTCCCCGACTGGAAGGACCAGCGGCCATTGTACCGGGAGTCTTGTCAGTCTTAGAAACCACAGTTGGCAAAGCCAGGACAGACCAATGAGGAGGACCCGACATGGCTCTTGTTCTATCTTGGACAGGGCGTGCAGGATATTAAAGGAAAGACATACGCCAGAAGGCCCAACCAGTTGAACTGTAGGGTGCCTGTTACCCATGCCCATGTGTGAGGGAACCTAGAGCAGAACGTATGGAGATGGGTTTTGTTGGTGGAAGCAAAGATGTCAATAAGGGGACGCTCAGTCTCCACAAAGATCTAGCTTAGCACGTTCGGGTGAAGAATCCACCGTATTGGTTGGATGACGTCCCAAGGAGAGTGACTGCTTCGCTGTTGCTGGTACCCGCTGTATGGATGACCACCCTGGTGGTTGATGCACACCACTGCTTGGAGTTGTCACTCTGGACTCGAACGGAACGGCTTACTAGGTGTTGTCGGAAGTGGTGAAAAGCATGGAACACTGCTTGGAGTTCCAACCTGTGGATGTGTTTGTCTCGAGAGGCAGTGTACCAGACCCCGGAGACATCGAGTGGAGGAAGAAAGGCCCCATTTGAAAAGCGACACATCCATCAT